GTTCATTCTTCTCGACTCCGATTCCATTTAGATAACAATAACCAACATTATTTGTTCCTAGAGCATATCCCATATCAGAAAATTTTTGATAATAAATGAATGCCTTATGTTCATCCTTTTCAATACCGATTCCTTTCTCATAACAATAACCAACATTGTACGTTCCAACATCATGACCCATATCAGCAGATTTTTGATAATAAATTAATGACTTATGTACATCTTTTTCAACTCCGATTCCTTCACCATAACAATATCCAACTTCAAATGTTCCGCCAGCGTGACCCATATTAGCGGCTTTTTGAAAATAGACGAATGCCTCATGTTTATTTATCTCGACCCCAGTTCCGTGATAATATTTTGAACCTAGTGTGTATAATTCGTCTGCTTTCATTTTTTTTAAGTTTTTTTTTCATCGTTATAAATATGTACTACGTTTCATAATGTTAATGTAAAACAAATGCATAATTTGTATCACATACTGCATATAGTTGTTAGGCGAAACTGTTTTACAAAAGTTCTCAAGTAGCACCCTCGAATCAGCCAGGGCGACCGCCGCAGCTACTTCCAATATAAGTCCCGGGCAATTTACATGCATGATCATTGAGTTATGAGTATAGTTGGTGTCAAAATTATAAATTTGGGATAATTTGGGATTTGGGACTGGCCCAAATTAATTTGGGCCTTTATAATTTAAATCTTAATTTCCCAAATTGATCCCAAATCCAATATTTTAAGGATATTAACTGATCTGGGGGGTTATTATTTGATAAATACATATTATAAAAATTTCCTAACAAATAGGTTAATTAATTAGTGTTGGATATTATTTAATTACAAATTTATTTTTTCCTGAAGTAAAAAAAGTAATCAGTTGGTAGGTAATCTTTTAGATATTAGTTCTCTTATGTAATTTTTTTTATTTCAGGCTACTTTATAGTAATGTACATGTCAATTAATTGTCTGACAAAGTAATATAATTTAAGGAATCATCGATTAAATTTGATCAAAATTTATTATGTGATTAAAAAAAAAGGTCCAATAAACTAAATCAGCTGTATTGTGCATAAATTAGGCCAGACCAATTTGATTCTCTGTTTAACATAATCCCCCCTTCTATTTTGGATAAAAAATCTCATCAGATTAACCAATTAAATTGCAGTATAGCTTTTGTTCATTTTTGCATTTTTTACAGCCAATAGAATTACTGTGTTTTTTCCAATTTGTGTTTTTTTTTATGCTCTCCCCCCACTCTTACGAGCTATATTATTTTATGTTAAACAGAGAATCAATTATTTTTGAAAAAAAGTATTTCAGCAAATATTTTGGCGTTGTTACATATTTTATATGAAACCCTTCAAAATAACTATACTATATGACGCATTTTGATGAAAAGAGTTCAAAGAATTTCAGAATAATTTCAGCAAATATAAAAATTAATTTCGGCAACTATGAAAGGTTAATTTCGGCTTACTAAATGCCGTAATAATTTTTTATTAAGAAGAGCGATTTAGGCACACATGTATAATCAGCTATAATTTATTCTTCAACAGTGTTGTCATGGGACAGGCACGCCTAGTGATTGGACCCGTTCAAAAAAACACTCAGGTTATCAGATAACCCAATTGACCTGGGCATATCCGACTTAGTTCCTATCACTAAGCCCACGGGTTAGCCACTCACATCTACTCGGGTTGCTTAAACTCAACTCGGGTAATACCCACTCCCTAGTATAATGAATACGTAAATGATATTATACTAGAGAAATTTAACATTAATAGAGTAAAGTTAAAATATCATGGACATTGAATTTGGAATTAATTTGGGATTTGGAATTAATTTAGGATTTGGGATCAATTTGGGATTTAGGATCAATTTGGGCAAGATTTAGCCAATTTTGGATTTGGATTTTTGAAAATTTAATTTTGACAACTATAGTTATGAGTGGACCCAAGACTTATATTGGAATTAGCTCCGATGGTGTTGATAAGGTGACCCGCAAAATTGCTGGCTGAATATTCTATGAATCAGTAATTGATAATAATGATAATGGTGCACAACCGTTATCATTATAAAATTTAAATAGATCTTTGTTAATGATCAATTCTAACTTGTGATTGTATGTATTTATATTCAAGTGTTGTAATAATTGAAATGCTGATTTCGATTGATAGTTGTGCAAATACTTTATTATTATCTTTTTTATCGTTACAATTAAAAAATTATTTTTACAAGGTTGTAATCAAAAACAGAAAGATAAAAACACATGCAAACAATTCTAATTTCTGTTTCATCTTTTTCCAGACTTCACCAATTTCATATGTTGCTACAGCAAGACTAATCAAGAAATTCAGCTTGCTACCTTTTTTATTCATAGTGTGAAAGTTACTCCGGAGACACGTGAGGGTCGGAGGCTAATGTGCTGTAGTATCTGCATACGGGTATGCAGATCTCTAGCCTTTAATGGGGTTTCCGGGGATAAAAGAGCTAAAACTCCTTAAAGAGATAAAAGAGGTATAGGAGTTTTAATAGTAATGGGAGCGAAAGGAGGTATAAGGAATTAATGGGTTTTAGTAGTTTTAGGACATTTAGGGCATTAAAGTATTAAAGTACGTTTAAGTATTATAAGTAGCAAAAGAGTTATGTAAAACATATTGATGTAAACTGTATATAATTAGAGCGTATTCGCTCGTAATAAAGGATAGCTCTTGATGGTTTGCTTTAATAAACTGAGCTCTTTATTAAATAAATCCTACTACCTAACCTATACTTTCTTTAAATGTCCTACCTCCGATACTCTACTAAGTGGCATAGTAGAGTTATCTTTGCGAAGCCATCGATTAATCCATGATTACTCCCCCCCCCCCGAAGTGATAATTGACCTGTTCTTTAGTAGTAGGAAAGGCGACCTAAGCTTTGGAACATCCACCTGCCAAATCTAACTGCCTCTTTCGATATGGTCGTCCAGGTTGCTGTACAATTAAAGATCAGTTTGGTCCCGGTGACCAAACAGCCTCGTTTCAATAGCAAAAGTTTTTAAAATAATGATAAGCAATAAGTTAATAATTTGTCTGCGCTAGTTATGTTTTTGAAATGAACAACTATTTTTTATAATCCATCAATGAAAAATTTTAGCTAATCAGCGTAACTCTGTGAAAAAATATATGTTTAGACCTCGAAATGATTTTAGATAATTACACCAGTCATCTGAAGAGTGTAACATGACGCTGATCCTATATGTAAATCATATAGGTGCAAATGCAGTGTGCTTACATTTAAAACTTTTTTCGTACTAGGTTAACTACATTTGGTGTTCTAAGTAAAATTGTAGAGCTCTTCGAGACGCATCTAATGGTAGTTTAAAGACTCAAATCGGCCTGGTAGATAGTGATATATCTTTAAAAAACGCTTCGCTGTCTATATAAAATTCTATGTAAACAAACAATTGTTTATATGAGGCCTTTTGCAATAGAAAGGGCCTAAACTGTATTTTAATTTTTGAATAATTAGAGCTAAAAATTATTAATATCTTAACAATGATGCATTTGAATATAAATTTATCTCTTCGATCATGTTAAAAACAAGTTTAAGATAGATTTATTATATTCGATTTCAAACGTCTTTATTCAAATTCAAAGATTTATTACAACAATAACAAAGTTAGTTAAACTTTTTAACAAAGTTAATTAAACTTTTTTATTAGGTCATTCTAGCTTTACATATTTTAGAATTTATTTAATTATGGTATCTTTCAATTTTAGCAATTATCATAAATAATTTATTTTTTATTTATTGTAATTAATTAAGTTACCATCGTTAGTCAGGAAGACCGCTAAAAATACGAATCTCTTAATAAGACCGTAAGGTTCAAAACTCAGTTCCTTTTCAATAAAAGCGATGTTAATTTCAATTCAAATTAAAACATATTAAAATCTAAATGTTAATTTTATTTCAACATTTGCTTACCGTTATTTAGTTAGCTATATATAATTATTTATACAATTTGATTCATATACAGTATATTAGCTAAAACAGTAGGTACTCCTATTATTTATAATTTATATGCCCTATTTATTCAATTTTTCGGAGCGTGCTAATATTTAGTTATTATGTTGATAATAATTAAATTATAGCAAAAGAATTGTTATTATTCTAAAGTTAACTGTTTTTACTAATAAAAGTCTTTTTTTTTTAATTTTATAAATTTTTTTAAAAAAATCGTACTTTATTATGCGACGACAAAGTAATGAACGATAACTACAATACATCTATCGAAATTAGTTTTCTATAGTTGGCGTAATTCCGTGTATAAAAATATTGCAATGGTGACTTAAGTACTTTTATTCAAAAATTATGCATAAACAACTGAATGCCAGAAAACTGCCAATTAACAAAATCCATTTTTGTCTTAAGAGCAGATCAGTTAAAATGACATTTTTATAAAGATCTTTGCTATCACTTTTGCTCCACCAAATTAATTTTATTACTTGCAATTACTAAAAATTTAAGGCTATGGACAGTTTGGACACTTTGGACATGCCAAAACGTACAACACTTGATACATCTGTTCAGACCAAATTTTTGGCAATATATATTTAAAGAATAAAAATTGCATTTAAAGAGGTAAATATATATTTGGGCCAGAGTTTGAAAGTTGATTTACGGAGTTAGTGAATTTATGAATGGTGTGTTTAAGAAGGTCACTCTGTATTTATAAATTCATATATCTTTATTGTATTGCCCATTTTAATTTGGATAATATTTATTAACTATTTATTCATGAAATTTTTAAACTGGAAAAATCTGAAAGTCCATTGAGTTCAAGATTCCAATTAGCACGGAAATTTAGAGCTACAAATAAAAAAAAGTACATTAGTTATAAAATGATATCAATATAATTGTTATTTTAAGGTTATCCCAAGTTAATTTTATGTTACGAGAATCAAAAAATTAACTTTGTACTGTATAACCTAAAATGAAAACAAACCTTAGAATGGCACTCATTGCGGAGGACACAAAGGCTTCAAGATGAAATATCGAATTTCTTCCAGTTCGAAGGCGATGATCCTACATTTTTTTTATGTAACTAATTAATTAAATACATTAAATATGAAATACATGGGCTAAAATCACATACGAAGTATGTTGCGCTATTAATTATGGTTAGTTTGGCATTAGAAGAAACACGTTTATCCGTAAAAAGATTCAGAGCTATTTTCTAAACAAACAACAATTTATAGTTATTAAAGATTATTATACATATATGGTAAAAAAAAAAACAATAATCTCACCTTTAAAACGAGCGATGGTGGAACACAATGACTCTGAAGTTCATAGATCTTCTGTCTAATTGTATTTAAGCTATTTAAACAGTTATTATTTTAGTTGAATTAATTACTACATCATCAAGGATTAAATGTAGTATTGTAGAATATAATATTACGTTTCGACTGCCTGCGACTTCACAATTTTATTAACTATTTCGTCGATTACTTGTTCCCAATCAATTTTGGGAATTTCAGTATTATTATTCAAATTTTTGCTAAAATCACAAGATAATAAAGTATTAGTTGATCAATCAATCAATCAATCAAAACAAAGAAAACATTGCATACTTTTGAGTTGCCATAACCTCGAAAGTCAAAATAGCCTTTCTTGGATTCCTTTGGGATTGTCTAATGATATTATCGGCCAAAGTCTTACTTAAATGTATACCCTCATTAGATGCAATATGTTGAAGGGATGTAGAAATCTAGTTACAGAAGAAATTTTAATTATTAAACATTAATAACTACATATTGCATCCATATAAAGACCTACCTCATCACTTGAAGGCAATGGTACTCTTATAAGCATGCATCTACTGCGAATCGGTTCAATAATCCTGCTTGTAGAATTACAACAAAGAATAATTCTTAAATTTGACATATATTTCTCCATTGTGCGTCGAAGTGCAGCTTGAGCATCACGCGTGATTTCATCAGCTTCATTTATTACAACAACTATGATAAAAGAGAATATAACTGTTAAGATCATTTATTACGACTGTTGGATCGTAAATTTTATTTACCTTTGAATCTTTGTTTAGCATCCGCATCTATTTGTTGAGTTTGTGCAATTTCCGTTAATAATTCCTGAAAAACTATTTTATCAGAAGTACCGACGTCGCTATTAGATGTGAATAATGACTATAAGTTTATTATTTAATTTATAGCAGACGTGACTCAAGAGAAAAGTCTAGAAGTTAATAGTCATTACCTGGGAGTTAATTCAATATGATATTTGCTCGATATGATATTTATTTCCAATTTTTTCTTTTGATTTTCAAAAGATCGTTGATCAATTTTGATCTAATTAAAAAAAAATCATAATACAAAGTAGAATGAATTAAAAAATATGATAACAAAAGGAAAATATGACATGATAGCTATTACGAAACCTTTTCAGCGCCGTCTCCAAATAATTCCTTCAAAATACACAAGATACGCGTTTTTTTGCCCGCACCCGAAGGACCGTATATAAGTAAATGAGGAAAGTCCGAGTCCACCTTAAACAAAAAGATATTCATAAAAAAAGTCATTTAATAATAATTACGCGTCTCGCAAACGAAATAAATTCTTAACGAAGTGTTGTAATGTTTCGACTTTATATGAGTAAATTCAGTTTTATACATACCAAGTTTTTAATCTTTCGCGACAATCCTGGATTGTATGTCAGGTTTTCGAGCGTTGTAGGACGATACTTATCTATCCAAAGACTCATTTTTTTTGACAAATACTTTACCAGGAGTGCAAAGTTTACGCTTTAACGAAAATGAGCTACACAAAATACGTACTTTGTAATAATTGTGTAACATTTCACAATTATACATTTCTCCAATTTCATTATGGAAAAGCTTTAGCTTATAATAATACAATTACAGGAACAAGCAAATATTTTCTGGTAGAAATTTTATAGTTCATATTTCATTATAGGAATATACACTATGTACGTATCTTGTACAGTACAATACAATAGTGCGAAAAATTTTTGATAGGAGGAAGCCTCGGGATTAAGGAAATATTGAAGACGTGAAAAAATTTACGGTATTCTTGATTAATGTCCTTTTAATATGATAAAAAAAAGTCGTACGTCGGAATGGAAATATTTTAAATTTAGAATTCACCTAGGTTTAAACATGCCGTAGAAACTATTTGTCAAAGTTTTTATATTTTGGCTTGCGGCATTGCCTAGAATTAAAATTTATGCCTAAACTAATTCTAAAACCGAAATTTATGCCCAAACTAATAGCCAATGCCGTAATTATATGTACTTACATAAAGATATAATGCTTCTAATATACTCATTTTATTTCTATCAAGCCGCAATTAGTTTCTACACGTATAGCTTCTAAATATTTAAATTGCAGCTTTTAATTTAGGTTACATGTATGGCATTCATTATAGATTTTGGCTTGGTTTTTGAGTTTGCGGCATAAATTACGGCTTGTGGCTTTATTTCAACTGAAATACTTTCGGCAAAACTATACCTAGTTTCTACGGCAAGTATACATAGTTTGAAACTCTAAATCTGAAATGTAGTCCGAGTCAATACGAATTTAAAAGCTACTTAAATTAAAAGCAACTTAACTAATTATTAGGTCTTATATTTTAGAAATAAATTTAAAATTTTTAAATTTTATAATGAAAGTAATTATCGTTCCTTCATTAATCTTTATTGTAAACGTGCATTTTGCCCTAGTTTTTGTAAACCCATCAAAGAAAATGCAATATTAAAAAACGAATTCTTGATACGCCTACAAATGTAAAGCCTATTGAAATTCCTTATTTCCAAGATTTATTATATCCTACGGTAATGTCAAACCCTTTGACTTATGAATTGTAATTTCCCAGGCAAGACATAAGGGAAACTGCATGCGAGAGCAAGTTCCTGATTTTCCCTTCCAAATGTTATTAAATAGGTAATACTTTATGGTTCAATATAGATAATCCATTTCAAGCAGTATTACTGTAGACAGTGAGAGTGGTGTCCTTCCTAGTTATTTTGATTTCTTTATTTGTATGTTCGTCGCGTACTCTTTAATATTAGTCTTTTTGCCGTTAATTGATTTTTTTTGTGATTCATTTTCTCTATAAGCTAACCGTTGTTCTTAGATCATTAAATTTATTGGTTTTCTTTTATATGGCCATTTGCTCAGGTGTATAAGTTCTTTTTGTGTTCTTGCATTTTAAAAATTGGAGAACTTTAATATGGCGAATTTTAATAAGAATTGGTTTAATTTTTACGATACAATGATCAAGTTTTGGTTTAATTTTTGATTTAATTTTGATCCTAATTTTTTATTTATGATAATATCTATAAATAGTTGTTGATATATTTTTTTGATTTAATATTAAACTATTTTATCAAGAAAGTAACTGTTTTTTGAATGCTTATTAATCATAAAATTATACAAAATAGTTTACTTTCTTAATGTATTATTATGCTCGAATATAATGAAATTAGTCGTTGAAGTATAATTTCGATAATCAAAAGTTAACGATAGTTATTTGTATATTTTAACTTAAGATTAACTTTTTTATTTACTATATTTTTATTAAGTTTTAAATTATGATCTTTATATTTTAAACTAAGCTTTCAGTATCCAAACATTGAGCCTAATTTAGGCTCAAGCCGAACCTAAATAGGATCAGTGAACCGGGAGCCGGACATTGTGAAATTTCATAGAGTAAGGCTTTAAGGCTTTCACTTCGTTCCATTCAGCTCCATCCAATTATTTCTAAATTCGTATTATTATCGACTAAATGATAGTTAAAGTTATTGATAGTGGGTCAATTTCAATTGACCATATGTTATTGGAATTATTAATGTTCATGTTTTTTTTTTTTTAGATAATTATTGTCAAATAAAGTGCGTCACTAAAAATGAAGATGGGTTAGACGTAATGTTATTATAAAATGAAGATGGGTTAGACGAAATGTTATTATAAAATGAAGATTAGTTAGACGTAATGTTATTATAAAATGAAGATGGGTTTAATAGTGGGAAGATGTAATGTTACTATAAAATGAAGATGGATTTAATAGTTACTATAGATCACGTGTGTAAACAAACGGTCATTAGGGACCCGAATGATTAGATTTGGTGTCCGAATGTTTAGATTTGGTACCAAATTGATGCTTCCGCAAATGCGCCGTAATGATTGTTGTGAATACAAAAGATTGTTATTGAAAAAAAAAATGTTTCTATTCGTGATCTTAAAAGCGACTTAAATTCCAAAACAGTATACTCGATAAACTAATTTAGAATCCACTTAATTTTATTATAAGTTGAATTGGAATTCTTTAACTCTGGTATATTTTAGAATTATATTACACAATCTATCATAATTCCATTCTGATATAAATAATAAAGGTCTTAATTTTTTAAAAAAAAGTCATGTAAAACGTCATAAATTAGCTTTGATTAAAAAAGTCAATATTTTATTTGATTAAGAAATCAGATTTTGCTCGAAAGGTTGACTTCGAACTCAAATTCGAGCATGCTGAGTTTCATTATAGGTTTGGGTTTCGAACTATGACAAAAAAAAGTAAATTATTTTGAGCTTATTCATTTTTAGTTATGTTTTACTGACAGCATTCTCCAGCGCTTTAGTCAATCAGTCGGAAAATAGCATTGGTAAACATTGATTTTATTGGTTAAAAAAAATGATCGACATTTATATGAATCAACTGTAATTTTCAATACATTATCTAAAAAAAATTTTTTACGTATCAGTAAGAAAATTAAAAAATATTGATACGTATATACAATTTGCGCGTTACTTCGTCGTTTTATGAAATGTCATCCAGTCGGATCCAATGGATAAGGATTCTAAATAAGAAGGTAAAAAGTTGTTAGGCTTTAAGTATTTATAGTATGAGAATAGAAGTTTAACGAACTTTCACCAATACTAATACATAACTTCGTTGGCTTAATATATAGCGTTTAGACCTAAGTCAGACAAAGAGACAACCAAAAGTCGGTAATTGCATAGTATAAGTATTTACTTTTTAAGTTAGTAAATTTATTTTGTTTAGATTTATTACCAAGTTCTAACATGATTTAGTTCATTTAAAAGGACTGTATGTACTTTTTGAATTCTATCTAATTCTATTTCTTTTGTAGTCAAATGACCCTAATCCTCTTCTTGAGCTTCCTTGCTAATATTTATATCTTTTTTTTCTTTTTCATTTAAGATATTTGGTCTTTTTTCTAGTCTATTTACTAAAAATTTTATATTATTATATATTTTATACTTATAATATTCTTTACAATAATGACAACTAAATTCCATTTTTTGATAGTATTGGAAATGGTGTCTATACTTGTAGATCAGTATTTCATCATCTCTAAAATTTTGATAACAATAATTACAAATATCTAATTAGAAAAATATATTAGTATTATATGCTATTAAAAGATATTTTATATTAACTATTTCTTTTAAGATAATTAATTTATATAATTCTTTTTATGCTTATTTGTTCTATATAATTTACTTTTTTTATGATTTTTAAAGAGTTTATAAAAGTTAAATTTTTGTTAAATTCATAATAAATTAGCAAAAAAAATTAACTTATATTCAACCTATATTTAATATAAAAAATATTAATTAGTTTAAAATTAGTAACTGATTTTAAATTGAATAATTATTTTTAAAATTTAATCTAAAATTAGACTTCAAATTTAGATTAAATTTTATAACTATTTGATCTAAAATCAACTTCTAAATTTTAAAAATTGATTTTAGATCAAATAGTTATAAAATTCAACCTAAATTTAGAGTTTAATACTAGGTTAAATTTTAAAATTAATTATTTAACCTAAAATTAGTTACTGATTTTAAGCTAATTTTTTTTTCTTTTAACAGTCATGTTATAAACTTTATTAAGTTGCTAACTACAGCTTTAGCCAAGTTATATGATTTGATAATCTACTTAACTTCTTAAGTTTGATATCATCTAGCTGCTACTAAAGTACTCAGATATGACCTATTATACTAGCTTACTAGCTAGAACAATTTGTCTAACTATATCAAAGAAAACTCTACCAACATACTTCTCCTTCCTTAATTTCTTTTTTAATGATCTTTTCTACTGTATCTATTATCTACTCCTTTTTTTAACCTCTTTCTTTTTTTCTTTTTGTGAGCAATACTTTTTTTTCCTTATCTGCTTGAGTTCTTACTCTTGATTTCTTTTCTTTCACTTCACTTCTTTTTAGCTTAGTTGTTATCTCTTCATTTTTTTCTCACAGAATTACCTTTTCACATTACCAATTCCATATAATCTCTGCAAAACTTTTTTAAAAGATAAAGAAAATGCTGTCTATTCAAATTCTCATAATATTTTTTTTCTATGCTAATATTCTGATGTCTTCAGCTATTTTTCTTTTTTTAAGTCTGATTACTAGCTCTTTCCTTCTTTGGAATTGACTTTCTTTATCTTCTAAGAAAATAGTTATTCTGATTTTTAATAATATATCAGAAATATTACTTTCCTTAGAAAGGAGCTTGTAGATATCTTCTATTACTGTATTTTTGATTTCTTTCTAAGAATCTTGTAGCACTGTATATTAGATTAGGTGTTTGAAATCTTCTGGAATTTCTTCTTTGCACAGGATACAATAGTCACTTTTATATAAAGATAGTTTTCATTTTTTGAGTTTACTAAGCATTAGAAGGCTATTCATTAAGCATTTAATCTGCATGATAAGACTTT